AAACGGGGCGAGGCAAGGCTATTGCGCTTCATAGGGTTCGAAGCGAGGCAATATGGAGAGGCGAGGTTGAGGCGAGTGAAGCGAGGCTTAGGCGATGAAGCGCAAGGCGAAACAAAGCGTTGCTTCTTGCTTCTACGATCTGGGCCCCTCATTTTTCCTGATTTTGCGTTATTTGTGGACATGCATTGCACCTTAGAATTGCTTTCTACTATTTATTGAGTGTAAAACCCTAGTTTCTGGGGGTATCAAAAGAGGAGAGAGACGAAAAGCAAAGACAAAAAGCAGAGAAAGAGAGGAGAGAAACGAACCTGGTCCTGCTTCGTCTTCTGCTTCGACATCGTTTCTAAGGTAAAGCTTCTTCTCGTACTCCTTTCTTCTCTCTCCCTGCTTCGTCTTCTCTCTCCTCTTCTGTAACACCCTCAAAATAATACATATAAACCCCACATTCATGACATCCATAGATATAAGAGAATAAAGCATATTTCCATTTATCAGAGTATTCATCACAAAAGTATTACATGTTGACAACAAAAGTAAATGCCCTACGGGCTTACAACTTTCCAAGCCAACACTTGGTTACAAAAAGAAAGTACTAACTCAAAACACATTAAGCCCATGGCTTGAATTTACATGTAATACCAAAATAACAAAAACAACCAAAAGAGTCTTCAACTCCCAAAACCTTCCAACCTACGTCCTTGGAGGTGACATATCACCTGAACCTGAAAATGATGTCCCATATAGGGTGAGTCAATGCCCAGTAGAGAGTTTCTGGGGGTATCAAAAAAGGAGAGAGACGAAAAGCAAAGACAAAAAGCAGAGAAAGAGAGGAGAGAAACGAACCTGGTCCTGCTTCGTCTTCTGCTTCGACATCGTTTCTAAGGTAAAGCTTCTTCTCCTACTCCTTTCTTCTCTCTCCCTGCTTCGTCTTCTCTCTCCTCTTCTGTAACACCCTCAAAATAATACATATAAACCCCACATTCATGACATCCATAGATATAAGAGAATAAAGCATATTTCCATTTATCAGAGTATTCATTGCAAAAGTATTACATGTTGACTACAAAAGTAAATGTCCTACGGGCTTACAACTTTCCAAACCAACACTTGGTTACAAAAAGAAAGTACTAACTCAAAACACATTAAGCCCATGGCTTGAATTTACATGTAATACCAAAATAACAAAAACAACCAAAAGAGTCTTCAACTCCCAAAACCTTCCAACCTACGTCCTTGGAGGTGACATATCACCTGAACCTGAAAATGATGTCCCATATAGGGTGAGTCAATGCCCAGTAGAGATATACTAAACCAGTTATGAGAAATAACTAAAACATTAGCATTCGATAAATGGTTAACACTTGTAAACCAACTTACAACATTTTCGAGTTTCACGACAATTACATTCGTGTTTCATTTCACTTTCCTTTACTTATCCACTTTAAATCATAAACATGGCTCATTGTCTAGCCAAACAATTAAATGAGACTACAACTCATATTAAAACGCTTCCATCATCCACAATTCAAATGAGACTACAACTCATAAGAAAATATTTCAATACTTCAATTATCTACGCTATGCAAACGTGATCAAGATTTCGGGACTTTCACCCTGAACACTCTGGCCAACTTAGTTATCAATGGAGTCCATCCCCTATCTCCTCCCAAACAAGTTTGAGAGTACATCCCCTATCTCCTCTCAAACCTTGGAGTACATCTCTTATCTCCTCCCAAACAATATACATATACAATGTATTTAAACACTTATCATATACAATGATCAATCCATACACATATTCGATGTATTATTCCAACCGTCATATTCAATGACATATTCCAGGTGATTAGTTTCAGTTTTCCCTAATCAACATACAGTGTCTACAACAATCAAGACTATCCTCCACCGATAACTCAAAGCAGTTATTTCTAAACAGATAATAAATTTATCAAACAGATAAAATATCAACATATTCATAGGTGAGTGATTTATTTATCCAACTACACAATTCAATCTCATAATTTCCCAATTTCATAATTTCCAACTCAATTTCACATTCTCATACATTCTCAAATTAATTATACAAATTAATTAGTCACATTAAATTAGGGTTTTTCCCCCCTTTTCCCAACTTTAGCCCCAAGGCTCATTCTCATCAATTCAACAACAATAATTCCATTTTCCATAGTCCCACATACATATGAAGCTTAACATTTGAAAACCCCCATTTTTATAACTTTAAATTAAACCCTAACTTTCCTAAAATTACCGTTATTCACCATTTATACAAAATGACTAAAATTTATGTCAAAACTCATAAGAAGGAGTAGGGTATCCCTACCTCAAATGAAAAGACCAAATGGAGAAGATGAAGAAAACTCAAGATGCTCCAAACCCAATGATTTTCGAATCAAAACATAGCCCACACCAAGCTCCACCTTTCTTACAAAGGAACTAAGATAGAAACACACTAGAACTAGGTGTATTCTTAGAGAGAACGTGTATAGAGAGAGAAGAGCAGCCGGATCTAGGGTTTGTGTAAAAGAGATGGTGAAAAAGTGAAGAAGACGCTACTGCTGCGAACTGATATATTCAAGCCTCGCTCGAGCGACCAGACACAAAGGAAACTTGCTCGAGCGCAGAAAGCCTCGCTCTAGCCAACAATACGAAGCTTCAGGTCTGCAACCTAGAAGCACGCTCGAGCGCAAGAATGCTTGCTCGAGCGAGGAAACTCAAAACATAGTCCTCGCTCGCACGAGCGAAGAAAAGCTCGCTTGAGCCAATAAATGCAACCTTCAAGTCCAAAACTAGACGCAGACACAAGCTTGAGCACAAGACTTCTCGCTCGAGCCAATAGACACACCACTCAACTCTCGCTCGAGCGAAGGAACCCTGGCTCGAGCGAAGGAACTAAAACACAGAGCTCGCTTGAGTGAAAACACCAAAATCTGGGCAGCAACCATTTGTTTCAAAACACACCCAACCTGTTACAAACTTGCCCAACACATCCTAAAACACAAATACAAAGAATTAAAGGACGGAAATGAAACATATACAACAATAGACATCCACGGAACCGAGTCCAGAATACAATAACCAATGGAGGGAAAACCGGGATCGCTATATCTTCTTTTCGTCTTTCCTGCTTCGTCTTTCTTTTTTTCTTCTCTTGTTCTCTCTTCTTCTTCTCCTTTATTTCATCTCTCGGCAAATTTTTTTTTTCCCTTTTGCTTTTTTTATTTGCTTTCATTTATTTATTTTCGTTGTGGTTCTAGTTTTTTTTTTTTTTTTTCTTTTTCTTTTCTTCCCTGATTCTTGTTCTGTTTCTCTTCTATTTATTTTGCCGAAAATTTTTTCAATTAATTTTACTAAATTGATTTTACAATTGTATAATTATTTTGCTGAAAAATATTATACAGACTAATCAATTTCATAACATTGTCTTACTAATTAATATGTCATGTACTAATAAAAATTTAAAATTTTAAATATAATTTACTTTAATAATAAGATAAGTGTCACATTATTGAATAAAGAGAATAATAAAAATTATTAAAGCATTGCATTGGTATTTGATTAAAGAAGAGGAAAGAATTATTTGGGATGGTTGATTTGTTTGATGTTTGATGTTTTTGATAAATACTAGTTGGCCCCCCACGCGCGTTGCGCGTGGGGGTCGTTCTACAGTTTGAATAAAAATATTTATAAAACTGTATCTGGTTTATGAATATATGAAATGAAATGTAATTATATTTTACATTTCATTTGCTGTGGTGTTCCATATTTGTTCATTAATTATTATTTCTGAAGATCTTTTATAGCTATTGATTTGACACAAATGTAACGATTTCATTTGCTGTGGTGCGAGAATTATTTGATGTAATTTTGGTAATTAGCGCTTTTCAAAGATTGTTTCATGTAATTTTGGTAAATAGTGATCAATCTCCCAAGGAAAAAATATAATTAATGAACAAATATTATATGCATATAATATTATACTGGTGTTATAACGTAGGGCTTCAATGTAGCAATTTCGCCTCCGTACATCACTTGCCCATAGTTACATCTATGTCAAATCAACAGCTATAAAAGATGTTGAGAAATAATAAGATTGTTTTGGGGGAAGGATATATTGTATGCATCTTAATTTTTGGTTGTAAGATTGTTTTCGCCTCCGTATAACACTTGCCCATAGTGTTATTTTGCCAAATTCTGTTGTTGTTCACCGTATCGTCATCTAATCTATGTAGTAAGATAATTCTAATTATGAGGTGATGGCTGGTCCTATGTGTTTCATATGACCCGAAATTCTCGCTCTCTCTCTTTCTCTCTCTCTTTCTCTCCAGTTCATCTTCGAAGAGGATCTACTACGCGTTCTGGTTTTAGTATCTACATCTTCTAGATCAAATTAATTCATCTTCTACACGATTTGGTCTTACAGGCCATACATCTTCTGTGCCTTTCACTGTCCTAATATCCTGCTCTAATAAGCATATGTTAAACGAGATGATCGTCTTCATTTTTCTTTGTCGTTGCGCGTGGGGGTCGTTCTACAGTTTGAATAAAAATATTTATAAAACTGTATCTGGTTTATGAATATATGAAATGAAATGTAATTATATTTTACATTTCATTTGCTGTGGTGTTCCATATTTGTTCATTAATTATTATTTCTGAAGATCTTTTATAGCTATTGATTTGACACAAATGTAACGATTTCATTTGCTATGGTGCGAGAATTATTTGATGTAATTTTGGTAATTAGCGCTTTTCAAAGATTGTTTCATGTAATTTTGGTAAATAGTGATCAATCTCCCATAGTTACATATGTGTCAAATCAATAGCTATAAAAGATGTTGAGAAATAATAACATTGTTTGGGGGGAAGGATATATTGTATGCATCTTAATTTTTGGTTGTTAGATTGAAGGGGAGGCACCCAAAAAAAAATCAACTGTTGAATCGATGCATATTTATAACAAAACTTTACCATATTCATAATAAAAAAAGTAATTATTATGATTCATACAAATGTCATTATTAGTAATTATTCAACACTATTATATTAGGTATACAGTGGGGGTTTGTCTACAAAAGATAAGCAGAAGAGGAAGTACTCTATGCTAGTGTGATTATGTACAATGTGTATAGATATATCCTTGTCTTTCTTGATGTACAATATTTTTAATTTTGCGTGGTAAAGTATTGTCATCGTATTGGAAATTCCCATATTTTCCTTTGATGTGGTTGCATATTGCATCAGCTGCAGAGTTGCCTTCTCGACGAATGAAGGTGATTTTACAATCTTGAAAATTTTGTTTTCTTCTGCGGATATTGCCTATGAGTTTCCATACGATGCTACCATAATCTCTTTGTGTATTGTGTAGAATTGTCTCGATTAAGAATTCTGCATCACCTTCTGCCCATATCTTTGGCCATTCATTTTCAGCTGCAATTTGTAATCCGCGGCATAAAGCTGATGCTTCAACATATTCTACAAATGTCATTGGTATTGTGTCTCCGAAAGCATAAATGCAAATTCCTTTGTGGTCTTGAAATATCCCTGCTCGAATAGCATCTACTTGTTTTGGAGCTTCTTTGTTTGGATAGATTCCACCATCAAAATTTAGTTTGAGCCATCCTTCTTTTGGGGGTTGCCAATACACAAGTTGTTGCTCAGTGAAGTTGGTTGATGATGTGGTGGAAGGTTGGTGCGATGAGTAAATTTGGGGTAATAATTGGTTATTAGTATTTTCCACTGTAGAGATAGTGATCTTTGGAGATGTGTAGTAGGCTTTAGCATTGTAATAATAGTATGGGTTTAAGTAAGATGTTGCAGGTATGTTTGAGTAATACTTATAATTGGTTGGAGATATATAAGTGGTTGGTTGGGTGTAGAGGAGATGTGTGTTGGAGTGATATGTGGGCTGATTTTCATTCTGTGTAAGATATAGTGTTGATTGTCACATTGGGCATTGTTGTAGTTTGGTAATGAATTATACATTGTATTCGTGTTGAAGGCTGTGGAGTGGGTGTTATGCATGTTGGCTATTTTGTGAGGATTTGTGATATGTGGAGTTACGTCAATTGTGAAAGATTGGCAAAAGTGTTAGTTAAACAGTAGAGGTAATAGTGGAAGAGAATTTTTTTTATAGCTAAGAATGTGACTGACTTGCTTGCGGGGCTGGTACTGTAGATGATGTCACAAGTTTGTTTAGCAATGAATTTGTGATATTTTATTCTGTATCCAAGAAGCAAAGAACAAAAGAAAATTTAGAATTATGTGCCTCATAGAGTAAATGTATAAAGAATGGTTCTTTTTAATTGAGTTATAAATTTTATATTTATACATATATATATATGTATTTTTTTTTTTCATAAGCATTGTAAAGTTGAATTCATCAGGGGGACAACATTCAGGAGATGGCCATGTGTTAGTTAAACTGTATTTAACTGAAGAGAAGTACTTTTGTGTAGGCTGAAGAATACATTTATAAGCATTTAATATACGGGTGGTGTCACCATTGATGATGTATGTCAACGTAAAAAATCAGAGGTATCAAAATAATAAAATAAAAGATAAAAGCAGTTTAAATACTGTTGGTCACAACAATGTTGGCATCAACCATAACAGAATTTATGTTTATTCTATATGAATCTAGACCAATCAATGATTAATTATTTTCTTTAACAGAACCTTCTTAAATGTCAGCAAAACCATAATCTATATGAATAGAAAAATTTACGCAAGTATGAAAGTGCAAGGGTTGGCAAGATGGTCCACACTCTAGCACCAATAAGTAGAAGCAATTATTGTTTGCAGAGAAGTTAGCACGAGTGCCCAAGTCCAGATTCTAAACAGTACCCGTTTAATCTTCAAATTGACCCAAAATGTATTGCCAGGCATCTCAATTGTCCATTGGATCACCAGAGGAGACCAAGGAATGGAAAAGTTTATATACTCAATGAAAAAACTTGACTTAATGCTTCTATTATCAAAGTTTTGTGCACATATATATATAAAGTTTATATACTCAATGAAAAAACTTAACTTAATGCTCCTATTATACTTGATTTGTGAAAATAAAAAGGTAGTTAAACCTGCATGAACCATCTCTTGGGAAAAAATAGATGACGTTTGGAGATTACCACGTGTCAATGCATATTACCCGTTTAATCGTCAAATTGACCCAAACAAAAATTAAATTGAAGTAATACTATGGAAATTCTGTGCACATATATATATAAAGTTTCTCAAAAGTATTGGCAGCAAGAGGTGTCGAAAGAACTTAATTCTTTCTTATTCAGACGTTAAAACGTTGATTGATTTTTACATGCAAAAAGCATAGGTACTTCTTGAGACAAATCCATGATGATGTAAAGTAAACCAAAGTTGGGTTTAGTAGTTACAAAGGAGAAACAAAAATGCACCTGAGTGGCATAAGTTCTCTGGAAAGGACTCTTTTCTGCATTCAGCTGAAACAAAAAAAATATGACAATCAGAACATAAGATAAAAAGATTATGCTAATAACAATAAAGCTATAATTTTTGACACAACACATGAAAGAATGAAGGGGAAAAATGTGCCACTGCCAACCCAATATAATTAATTCAGTGGTTTTGTATCTGGAGTTCATGTATAGGTGGCTCACTAAAGTACAGTGGTTTTGTATTTGGAGCAAATTCATATGTGTCTCACTAAAGTATGGCAGAATTCACTGTTAAATGTTGTGGCACATCATCAAGTAAATCAAAGATAAATAAACAACACATTCTAAAAAAAAATAGCAAAATTTTTGAGGTTTATCAATTGTAGAAGGCTTTTTTTGAAAAAAAATACTTTGGAAAAATTCAAACCAAAAAATAAGAGATTCTAATTTAAAGATTCTAATTCAATGTTGAAAGCATGGTGTTTTTCAGTTTGATAGCATTGTGTTTTGGATTTTTGTATGAAATAATGGTTTTCATTGTTGAGAAAGATTGTTATTTTGATTTCTAGCTGGGCTGTTGTGGTTAAGTTATTTGGCATAAAGAATCACACCATTAATAATAAATAGATAGCTAAATAGCTCAAGGAAACCAAATTACTCAACAAACAGAGCATGAGGGTACAGATTTCATACAAAAGTCAGAAGGCCTTTTCCACAAGTGAACAAGTTGGCATTCTGAATGTCATTCTGATTGTAAATTTGGGAAACCAAATTACTCAACAAACAGAGCATTCTGAATGTCATTTTTATTGTCAATTTATGCGTGTGTTTCAGTTCGGCATATCGTTGAACAGATGGTGGGCAATGTAGAGAAGAGGAAGAGAATCATAAGCAACAAGATTTATAACTCTTGATTAAAAAAACAGCAACAGATACAGTAGCAAGAAGAAGTAACATAAGCTGGGAAATGGAACGGGAAGTGAAGCGTACGTTTTCTGTTCCTTTGATGAAACCGTCGGTCGTTTGCAGCAATCCAATTGAACAATTTACGTCTCTTAATAGGTGAGGATTTTAGGAAGAAGGGTGGTGGGAAGCGATTGTCTCAGGGATTGTGGTACATGTCGTTTTGGCATGTTTTATACCCAAAACGACGTCGTTTTGACAGTTTTGAGCTATTACGGCCACAAAAATTGTGGCCCTCAAACATTTTCCTTTTTTTTTTGGGTTGTCTACAATACTGATATGTTTGTATTTTATATTTTGAATTCTTTGACAATATTTAGGGTTGATTTGGGAAGTTGACTTTTTGACTTTTTGGGATTATTTTGACTATTTTAGCCTGGGTTAAAAATTTTGATTTGGGAAAGACTTTTTGACTTTTTTGATTTTTTTGTAAGAGAAGAGTGTAATGATTATGGGTTGAATGTGATGTTTTGTTTATTGTGGCTAAAATAGCCTATTTTATTTTTTGTGGCTATTTTAGCCACAAACCATCTTGCCAAACAGACCCTAAGGGTCATTTATAATAGGTGGATTTATTTGGATTTTTTTTAGTATTTGTGTATAAGAAAGAAGTTATGATCTTGTTTGGCTTTGTTTTGGGTGATAAATTTTATGAAGAAATTTTTTGGAAAGAGCTCAGAAATTTTTGGGGTTTGTTTTGTTGTATATTTTGAAAATATTTTTTAAGTATGAGACATTAGGGAATTTTGGAAATTTTTACAAGTAGTTTTTAAGTATGAGAGTAGGAGATAAAAGGTAATTTTGGAAAAAAAATTCGAAAGTTAGTAAACTAAATGCAATTTTATGAAATTTAATTTGATTGAAATATTTTAGAGAATTACTTTCTTATTGATTTTTTTTGGTTTGAATTTTTGTTGGAACTTTGGTGTATAATTATTTATGGAATTTTTTGAGTTAGAGTAGTTGATATCACATTTAATTTTTTTATTATATTTATGTTTAATGAATGATTTTATGTATTTTTCAGCAAGTAGTTGATTTTATGTAATTTTCTATTATATGATTTTATGTTTAATTATATATTATGTTATGTGATTTTAGAATATTATTTGGGTTGCATTGTGTAAAAATGTGCTACCAAATTCTATATCATAAATTAGCAAACAAAATTTTCAAATATTCAGAAATAATTATTATAATGTTTATTTGGAAAGAATATTATTGCTAATGATTTCAGAATTGCTATTCTAAAAATTAGAAGTTCAACAGATTGTTATATGGTGAGTTAAAGTAGTTAACTATGGAGTAAAACATTTATTGTCTCAAGTTGATCCAATTATTTGTGTTTGTGTGTGGAAAAAATGTGAAATTGGTGGATCTGAGAGTTGAGGCGCAAATCTAGTGAATAGACAATTAGTTCTTCGTTTTTATGTCATGTTGAATTATTTTGTTAATATTTCTTAGTTCACCAATATTCAATTATTGGATTTAACCTTAAATTTAACAGCCCATATTTTGGTTAACAAACAGGTACAAATCAATGTGCCTTACAAGTTACGGTTGTTTATCAAATGGAACTCATTTTTAGTCTGAATTTGATAATTTGAATCATTTAAAAATAACTTTATCAAATTATAATTGTATCTTAAAAAAAATAATAATTAAGTATGGTTTTCAATGTAAAACATAATTGAAATATTATTTGTATCTAATGTGTTTTAGAATTGAATGATTTACGTTAAATGTGTTAACGCAAACACTTATTATGTCGTAAGTTGAGTAATACTATTTACATAATGTTGTGTTTGATTGGAAGATTTGAAGAGGGATTTCGAAAGAGAAAAGAAAAAGTGTGTGAAACTAAATGAAATATAGATATATTTTATTCAGATTTCACCTACCTTTTCCATTTCAAATTTGAATCATTTAAAAATAATTTTATCAAATTATAATTGTACCTTAAAAAAAATAATAATTAAGTATGGTTTTCAATGTAAAACATAATTGAAATATTATTTGTATCTAACACTTATTATGTCGTAAGTTGAGTAATACTATTTACATAATGTTGTGTTTGATTGGAAGATTTGAAGAGGGATTTCGAAAGAGAAAAGAAAAAGTGTGTGAAACTAAATGAAATATAGATATATTTTATTCAGATTTCACCTACCTTTTCCATTTCATTTTCCAAATCCCTCCTCAAATCCCCCAACCAAACACAGCATAAGTGTAGTAAAGAACAATGATCAGAATCTTTACAAATATCTAAATCAATTCACTTTCATGTCACATCTGAAACAAAGGTGTTAACAAAGACTGTCTTTTGTTATTCCAAAAAACTGTATGATATATGATTGTGGGACAATGGTTATCCAGCTTTGTTATCTCCTCTGGAAATGAAATCTGGTGCTATAAAATAAGTACGATTTTTTAATTATTCAAAATCCGGTCCAATGAATAGAGGAAAAGGTCGGATTAAAAAATGGTAATATAAATAGGAAGATGATGGTTTATTAAATTAAAACAAGTTAAATCCAAGACTTGCCAAACATAGACTCTGATATTATGTTGGATGACAACTTATTTAACATGTGTTAATCTAGAAGAATGAGTAACCACCAATGTGTAAAGAAAAAATTTATCTATGCAATTAATGCTTCAACTTTTAGGTTGCAGTAGAGTAATAATAATAATAATAATAATAATAATAATAGAAGTTATTGCATGAAGAAAAGAAATTCCTTGGTAATGCATTCATAGTTCACGGTTTTTCAAGATGAGGTTGGAAAAGTTTATTGCAACATAATATAAAACATGTGAGGAAAAATGAAAATTTGTATATCTCACAATGAGGACTAAAGCTAAACTATAAACAAAATCATTGTATACGTCAAAATGAGATTTATTCTTTTCTGTCACAAAATAAAAAAAATAGATAGAGCAGGATAACAAACAAATCATTTTTCAGTTGATTATTAATAGAGAGGGAGAGAGGTAAACAAAAAGCTACAGGCTAGTCCCTGAACCCAAGATCTGAAAAAACATTTGTAAAAGAGAAAAAAATGTTGTGTAAAAACTTGATTTGATGTATTGAGGGCACAATAAACCCATTAGGTAGATCATGATAAGAGGCGAAATTATATCAGCTCATCAAGCTTGCTTTTCTAATAAAGGTTACCCAATGGTGAAGGTAACTCCGAAAATCACGAATTCATTGGATCCTGTGAAGAAGAAATCTCAGGCTAGTCGAACACATTAGACAAACAAGAGACGGTTGAAAACAATATTGTAGCAGGTTTATACACACTAATGGGCAAGTGGAAAGTGTACAAACTGTTTCTACCATATAAAATCCATCAAACGGGCAGACAGAATATCCAGCTATTTTTAGAACTGGTGAGAACATAAATTCCGCTAATAATAAAGGCAGAAAAAAAAATATGTTAATAGAAGATGAGAATGCGAATAACAAATCTGCATGCCTCATATTGGCTACTTTGCTTCCAAGCACTGAATGCTCCAAAATAGATATTCAATGTAGGATTAAATAAGTGTTGTAGGTAGCATCCAAAAGCTAGCAAGCATAATCTTATACTATTGATGGCAGCTATTTATATGTTGTCAAAAACGCGGAAGTTATTACATACCAAGGTTGTTTATATGTTATGCAAAAAGTGTAAGTTAACTATTATACATAACTTCTAGTGAAGTATATGGATATATATTGACAGATATGTTAATATATATATATATCTATATATGTAGATCTACTAATAATATATTGTATTACACAAGGGAATTTATACATCTTCTACTTGTCAGACAGTCCACTTGTTGTTTGCCCATGTTGAACTTGCATTTTTGGTAGGAGCGAGATGAATATAATATTCTTTTTCCTTTGAAGCCATGTTGATGTCAGCTATTTTCTGCATACGTTCCTACAATTGAAGAGTATATGTATATTAAATAATTGTGCATATGCTTTAATTTAAGCCTTGATTCTAAATAGCAAGAAGATACTTGCCCTGAGATTTAATTGCACCAATGCATCTGCTGAATGGCCTACCAGCTTCTCTGCATGTGGTCCAAAAATAGCTGTTTGGAAGCAACCACTGTTGTCCTTGATTTGAATTCGGAGGATAGATTTGTAGGCAGTTAAGGTGGGTATAATAGGATGTAAGTGAATGTAATATAGGAAATTATCATGAAGCCAAAAGAGAATGTAAGAGAATGTACTTTAGTTGTAACAAATTATATGTTTTGTACCTTGCTGTCGCTGTAGATTCTTCTGTATTGCATTCAATACAAGTAAATGAGGTGCCAATGTCTCCCATTGTACTGCGGTTACATTTGTTACAAGCAACATACCATGGACGCTGGGTTATTGGTTCTGCTGTTATTTTGCCTTTTATCCATATGTTGCCCTGCTTTAAAAGAAAGTAGTATGTGAATGTAAGCATGCATATATATATATATGTCAATGTAGTAGTCTTCAATTAAGAAAACGAATAAGAAGGTATATACATCATGCGACGACAAATTGTTGATAGGTACAACTTCAAATGTTTTTGAAGATGAAGTTGGAGACGGCAACAGGAACAAGTGTTTTGAATTTGCAATTTCTTCAATTTTTTCTGGGTTTGCTAGTTGCCTGCGTTAATGTAATGAAGAAGCTATTAATACAGGTTAGATGTGAAGGCCTTAAAGTGAATATAATGTTTATGATTTATACCACTCATGCAACGATTGTATTTCAGGTATGTTGGCATTGAAGATGAATTCAGTTGTTGGAGTAGTTGATAAAGAGCATCCTGTAATTGTAGTTTAAAGTGTAGGCGTAATTTTATTCTTCTAGATATTCGATGATGGAAAATATAGGACAATTATGTGGTATTTTCTATTGGAGAAAAGGGTATGTTAACTTACCATTGAATGTAGAAGGTTTGTGGCCACAAATGTAGGCTTTTCAGTAATGATGGAGCTTATGTGTTCACATTCATTTGTGGTGAAATCATCCCATGCCGATAGGTTGATTGTTGTTGATAGGAACATTTGAAAATGTGTTATTAATAAATTTGTGTAATTGTTAATTTGAACTTCGAAATAGCTATTATGTCAATATGATATGTAGGATATCCATGGAAATTGGTAAGGAACTAACGATTGGTCAATGAGAAAGATTTCTCTGACTTTAGCTGGTTGTCCATCGATTCGCTTTGTGATTGTTCTTGTCGGAAGAACATTGGTTGCAATAGCAGCAATATCTGTTAGGTATGTAACATGAATGTGAATGGTAGGTAATTAAAAGAGTGATTGTGCTACTATTAGTTGTGGTATGCATATGAATTTACCAAATTTGATATTTGTTGTAATGTAGTCGGAAGCATCTGCTAGCTGGATGAAAAAGTATGTTTCTAATGCATTTGCTTCTTCTGTTGATTCAGTTTCTTCAACTGATATACGAGAGTTTAGCATGAGTTGAATTGTGTTGTCAATGATTCTATTTCGAGGGTCAATGTATTTGATGATGCCATTTGAAAAATAATGTCTTGTATACATGGAGTAGGCCATCAAACATGGGATGTCATCATCAAAACATGTAGCTTGAATTCGTGAGCCCTAATATGGCATAATATTAGTTATAATGAGTATTTGGGTTCTATATTTAGTGTGTGTGTGTGTGTGTGTGTGTGTGTGTGTGTGTGTGTGTGTATGAGGTGTTTTGGGGTTGCTAAAAGTAGGATGATGTAATATGTTGTTAGTAATGTATTGAATATACCTCACTGTCTGTTAGGATGAATTGTTGGATAGTAGTTGTTCCAAGCTTGGTTGTACGAGGGGGCTGTTTTTGAATGACACGGAGTTTGGCTCTCCATTTGTGCGATCTATAAGATAACTCACGAATCATTATAGCTTTCTCTTCCATTGTTCCTGCAAATGCAAATGTGGGTATAAGTGAATCAGTGTGCATGTCTACATGGATTTGCTATATATTGGGATATATTTTTAATTTGATTGGTGTGTTATTGACTATGTGTGCAAGTATATATGGATTGGTTTATGTTGGAGGATATGTTACATTTAGTGTGGGTTGTCAAATTCTTCTAGGGTTTGTTGGATTTACCTATGATGTTTTTTGGATAAAATCTTTGTAGACAACATTTCGTGTCATGTTGGACATGTCTTTTGATTGCCTGGCTGGTTTTATGAGGATTTTTACAGCAGATGATCGTTGTGCTCTTGAAAGTGCTACATATAATTGTCCATGGGAGAACACAGGTTGTGGAAGGTAAATGCCGACTTGCTCTAAGGTTTGTCCTTGAGCCTTGTTGATAGTCATTGTGAAACAAGGTCGGATTGGAAATTGTTTGCGTTGAAATGAGAAAGGGTAGTTATCTGTTTTGGCTGGTTTAAGTGGAATCCGGGGGATCAAAACTGAGTTGCCCTGATAATGGCTAGTTGCAATTTCAGCGTGGATAACATTAGGTTTTAGAGCCTTGCATAGTAATCGCACACCGTTGCACATTACTGCAGCAGGGTCTATGTTTCTGAGAAGCATTATTGGGCAAAACTGTTTGAGTTGTAGTTGGTGGGGAGGCATTCCATTGGGAATCAAATTGTGAAGGAATTCTTATGGGTAGTTTTCTCGTGTGTCGTTTGTCGCTTTGTCAAAGCTAGTGTATGTGTATGAACCTCATGGGAATTGGTCCATCAAGACTTTATTGATTTCGTCTACGAATTCATTTTTAGGAGTCAAGATGGCTCGAGATGTCAAGTAATTTGGTTTGAATGCATTTTCAGTGAAATCTGGATAGATGTGTTCAACCAATGTTAATATTGGATTTGAACTCTCTTTTGTGTTGATAGTCATGCATTCAAGTATTGTGATTAAGTCCTCATCTATGTTGTTGTAAGTTCCATTCCCGACGTCTAATAAGAAATCAGAAAATTGAGGATCATGTAATGCTCGCATGTTTTCTGTTAGACGAAGAATGTGAAGATGAGGCCAGAGTGTTGATTCCACCAAACTATTAATGCATTCCTCACGAGTGGATCGAGGACTAACCGGAAGAACTTGTCGGAAATCACCACCAAATACTACACCAAATACTACAGCTTTTCCAGCAAAGATGGTCTCATCTGAGCAAACATCACGTAACATTGCTTCAAAAGCTTCAATATTTTGTTTCTTGCCATAGGCGCTTCATCCCAAATGATTAATTTTGCTTTTCGAATGAGTATGGCAACTCAACTTTGTTTCCCAACATTACAACCAGTTGAACTATTGATATCTAAAGGTATTTTGAATCGAGAATGTGCAGTGCGGCCGCCAGGTAGGTTAGCTGCAGCTATTCCCGTGCTAGCTATTGCTATAGCAATAGATCCTTCTGAGCGTATAGCAGCTAGCAATGCTCGGTACAAGAAATTTTTACCTATACCTCCTGGGCCATCAATGAAAAATCCACCTCCTAAGTGTTGCTTTATGTAATGCATAATCAGATCAAAGGCAATGCGCTGTCCATTGTTTATGAGGACTTTCATATGTATGTCTTCTTCTGAAATTGGGATTTGTAGTTCAGCCTCAATTTCCTTGGTAGGTTTGTTTCGTATGATGGAATCTTTGTTGTATGCTGGGAGGTTGTAGTCTGTGATTTTCTTGCCCATTGATTCGATGAAACATGCAATATGGTCAAGCGTGATGTTTTGTACTTGTTCTGCTGTGAGTTGTAGATTTTGTCTGTGGTCTTCTGATAGAGCATCATAAAATTTCTCCCACAATGATCTTGGATTGTTAGGTTCGCAGAAAACTAATAGTGTTGCAAACAAACGCCTCAGCGCAAAAGGCATTTGGAAAACACTTGCTTCTGCAAGGCATTCTTCAATGGCATTGTCTTTCTCAAGCAAGCATCGTTTTTCAGCAGCTTCTCTGAATGAGGAGCATATTTGCCCATCAACAGTACGAAGGTTTATGAAACTTGTAGCTCCTCTTATGTGTGTTAGAAGTATACGTAGGAAGTATCGTTCTCCTTCAGTAGGGTTGGCTGATACAACCCTTTCAATTGTCCCACTTCTTTGACGTGGTTTCCAATATCGATCTTGAACATTCCAAACATAACGTTCAGGGAATTCAGAGTATAACCATTGCCTAGCAAATGTGTTTGTCTTGTTCATCGCAAAATATTCAATGAACATAGTTCTAGAAGCACGCCCAGATTGTAGGACATTGGGCAAATTATCTTCTTCCTTGAAATTTACAAGTTGCATATTTGGCAAGTGTAAATGGAGAGCTAAAACTGCTGGAGAAATATCGTTAAATGTAAATTTGTAAATACGCCATGCAACTTCAGGTGGAGATATCCAATGAGCGGATCGGTATGCACTAATCTCATCAATAATTGAGCCGTCATCATTGCCAATAAAATGGAAAGAAACACGATCATGCCCTTTGTATACATATTTGTACAAATATTTTACAGCTTTGATTGTGGAACAGATTTCAACATTTATGTGGCAATCGAACTTTGCAAGTAAGTATGGGTTATAAGGGACAAATTTGCTCAATTTCAGAGCTGTATGATCAACCTCGACCTCGAAGGGAGAGTCCGGGTGATTGGATGTATGGACCTTGGACAATTGCGGCGAAAGCGGGGGCGGAGCTGGCCCCGTTGGAAGATTCGTGTCCTCTTGCGGGTTCTGGATAGTCGGCACAGTATTCTGGGTGTTTGGAGGAGCATTCTGAACAGCAGGTGTCTGCTCAGGTAATGGAGCCCTCGCAGGAGGAGGAATTTGTTGTGAAGCTGATGCTGTATTCTGTTGTTGCAGTCTGGTAATCAGCTCAGCCTGCTGGGTCATAATCTCAGCTTGTTGCTTAGCGAGTTCATCTCGGCGAACGGCATCTTGCTGCATGGCCCGCATGGTTTCCTGCATTTAGCGCATCATCTCCTCAACTCCTGTTGGTGCCGTCATACTGTTTTGATTTGTCTGAACTACTGGCAGATCTGTCTCAATGGGGATCTCAATCCAACTGTCCACTGATGGGGGAAACCACTGTTCTGGTGATCTCTGTTCGGATACACTGAGCTTTTTCTGCTTCCTTCTGGTAAGAGGGGGTAGAGAATGGAACACTGGCTGTCCGTCGATTAGATCCTCAGATCGATGGAGTCGACGACCTCGTGTCCAAAGTGCTTGGGGAATGCCTGTTGGGTTGGAAGCAATTGTGCTAAAACTGACCTAGCAAAAGATAAATAAAGCGAAAAGGAAATAAATAAACAGATAAACGGACAGCATAACAGCTTAAAATAAAATGCAAGACACACAGTCGGGCATAACAACACACAGTTGATAAGCTGAAAACGCACTGTCCTCAAACACTGATTATTATCCTTGTATCACTGTCCTCTTAAACAGAATCTGATACCCGCAGATAGCTGATTCTCAAATACTGGCTGATGCCCGCAGGCCTGATACCCATAATACTAAACTGATGCCCGCAGGCCTGATGCTGACAATACTGGACTGATGCCCGCAGGCTTGATACCCGAACTTATATACTGAACTGATGCCCGCAGGCCTGATACTGTCAATACTGAACTGATGCCCGCAGGCTTGATACTGTCAATACTGAACTGATGCCCGCAGGCCTGATACCCAAACTCATATACTGATACATGCATTCCTGTCCTGATTCCATTAGAGCTAGGCTCCTGTTGGAACTAGGATTATGTTGGCTATAAAAGGGAGGCACCCCAATGGGTCTAAGGTATGTCTTTTATGCTTTTGATATTCTGTCTAGTGAGTTAAGCACTATTGGTTATCTTTGAGAGATATTAAGTACTGACTTGATCGTCGAA